GTTATAATGTGACGATCAATCCCACTTTTCGTTGCTAAAAGAGTAGCCCAAGAGTTGGCGGTGGGTGGCGATGACTAGCTGCCTTCCCTCTAGTCTTACACTGCTAAATTAGGGACGGCTATCGCAGATAGCTCTCCTGTAGCTTTTCACGAACTTCAAAACAAACAAGCAATCAAATAAAAACTCCTCTGAAATCAACTTGGGGGGTAGTAACGATTTGTTTGTTTGTTTGAAGTTAAGCACAAAGCTACACAATGGGCTATCTGTGCTCTGCCCACCACGAGTATCGAAACCCGGATTCTAGCATTGTAAGTCCGCAGACCTACCGCTGTGCCAATGGGGGGCGGTAGTAACGACGAATAACGGGTTTAATTTTACTTTTTAAAGTTAAGCTTTGTTTACCTATGTATGGTAACACTAAATCCTCTAGTGTTACGCTTAATGAGGACCTCTAAAAAAGGCAAATTATCATCACTTTTATTATTTTTCACAATTAGGAATAACTGAACAACATCCTACCATGCGAGGTTCAAAATAATAATAATTTACCTATTTTTAGACATCCCAATTAACCGTAACACTAGCGAATTTGGTACATCAATATACAGAAAAGAACTTACAATATTTGACACATTTATCTCGTTCACATACGAAAAAACGTCTGGTCTCATGTTTATTAAACAGAGCTTATAACTTGTGTTCTACATAATTTACACTCTGAAATTACGCTCATACAGGATACTTTGAAACGTAACGATTACCCACAACATCTATTACAAAAAGTTACCAATACTTTTCTAACTAAGAAACTCACGAATCTACCCAGACTACCAACAGTACCAAAACTTGCTATATACTCTTGTCTTCCATACATTGGTAAACAAAGCAATGAATGAAAACAATACAATTTTTTTAATATTTGTTTGTTTGTTTGTAATTAAGCACAAAGCTACACAATGGGCTATCTGTACTCTGCCAATCACGGGTATCGAAACCCGGATTCCAGCGTTGTAACTCCGCAGACATACCGCTTTGCCACTAGGGGGCTTTTTTTTTAATATGACAACTGTACTACATCTGTCATATCCAGTCTGAAGATACCTTTTGACAATACTATACAGTTCATCAGACCGGGTGGGATACGACATAGTAGTGATTTAGTAGCTTTATGTATCATAAGTTTCATGAATAACAGATGTTTTACTGTGATCCAGATTTAACTACATGAAATGTAATTATCATTATCTTTTTAAGTACGGTACGGCCGCCAAACTATGATGTAGACTATATTAACCATCTGTCACCTATATAAATAAAATAAGAGTTTTGTCTGTACATTGCTTAGAATAGTG